CCCCCAATAGAAAAAACCTCTCCAAAAAAAAAAAAAAAAAAAACACCTCTGCTAGTAACCAAAAGTTTGCACACAACAGGCCATCACTCTCCAGGCCTAAAACAACCCCTCCTTGCTCTACAGAGCTCAGCCCCAAGTGTAACTTGGCCAGAAACAAAGTGAATATGACAGAAAGGAACCTGAGTTGGAGCAGAAAGCAGGCCCCATGGCACAGCGGGTAAACGCTGCCTTGATGGGCTGATTCCATGTGGCTGACTATAGTTGGGATTCTGGTCTCAGCAGTTTCAAAAACACTCTGAGCATAGGCACATGTGCCCAGGACCCTGACAAGACAGAGAAATGAAGAAAAAAAAAAGGGTTGTGACATGGCCAGGCCCCATTTGGGGGTGTTCTCTCTCCCTCTCCTATGCACACACACCCTCTGATTAAACCAAAAAAAAAAAAAAAAGAAAAGGCATTTCAGTAGAACTAGGGGATGCTGGGGCCAACAGGTGGCATGGTGGCTAAGGCGCTGGATTCCCACATGGCTGATTATGGTTTGAGTCCCAGATCTGGTGGCTTGAAAATCATGCTGGGCATGTGTGTGTGCGCGTGTGCCTAAAATCCCAGGGGAGAATGGAGAAGGGAAATCACCCCTGTGGGAGGGGTGATTCACTCTCTCACTCTGCTTTTCCCCAGTGAGCACATGTGCCCTACAGCAAAAACCTGAAAGAAAGAAAAAAAAAATCAGGGGGATGCTAATTGCAAAACACCCCCACAGTTGGACAAATGATTGTAAATTCTCTCCTTTTGTGTGACCTAGTAGCCCGTTCGCATCTCGGGCATCTTTGGAGGCAGCTGCCTCACTGACCACTGCATTTCCCAGCCTGCTTCTCCCCACCTCACTCCTCAGTTCTTCCTTGGCCTTCCTTTCTTATGAGCTGGACCCCCTTCCTCCCAATCCTACCGGTGCATCTTCTGCCCAGTCACAGGGGTGGGCATGGAGGGCATCTGGTCTGTGGCAGCCTTAGTACAGCCAGGCGCTGCCAGGGCAGCACTGAGGTGTATCCTGTCCGGGCCTCCATGTCTCTCTCCGCTGTGACCAAGTCTGTGACTGCAGTAATTGCCAAGGATATTTAGTGTGTTGGTCTGACTTACTCCCCTTTCTTCTTCTTCTTCTTTTTTTTTCTACTGTTATTTTTAACTCTTATTTTGCATTTCTTCTTTTTTTTTTTTTCTTAAAACATCTTAGAAACAAAGCAAGGTGTACAACGCTCAAATCATAAACCAGCATTCATCGGGAATACGGCTGGTGTCCTCTTAAGGCTCAGCTGCAGGGAGACCTCCCGTCTGCTCAGCCGAGGACGGCACTCCACGTTTCTTGGTCAAACAGATCACACGTGTCACAGTGCGACAACCACGGAGGGCAAAGCACCGAACAGGGACACCAGCTTTTCGAAGCGGCGGGTCCTCCTGGCTGAGCATAACAGAAATGTAAATGAAAGCGGCACCGAGATGGGTGTTATTTTATTTTAGCCTAACAGACTGGCAGAAACGCAAAAGCCTGCAAACACTCCTGAGGAGGCCGCGGGCTAACGGGCACCCTCTCGGGTGGGGCATGTGCAGTTACCGTCTCTAACGCCTTCGCCCTGGAGACTTCCCTCCTAGGAGTTCATTCTTGGATAGGCTCATTATGCAAATGAGACCCAATAAAAGGCTGTTTATGATCTGTGATAACTGTCAAAGACAAAATTATAATAATTTAGCTTAAAGATCATAACTAGCTTTCCTTGTGATTCTAGAATTGGGCAACACTTCATTCCATAAACAATTATTTATTGTACCCAATGAGCTGAGCAGAAGGTCTTAATAGACAGAGAAGGGCAGAGGAAGCAGAGCCACAGCGGAAAGGACATTGGTTGTTTCAAATTCACTTTCTCCTGAGGCAGGAACAGGAACACAGGACAATAGAGAATTAACTAATTGGTCAACCTGGGGAACATCATTAGCGTGTGGATTGAAACTGGCCGGCTTGGGAACTCTGGCTGTTCCCTCCCTCCAGGTCTCCTGGTTTCTGAGAAGGTTAGAAAACCAGCTTCGTTTCAGCTTCCTCACATGGAATTTTAATAGGAGCGACTTGGTTTTCGTTTGGCCTGGTCTGTCGGGGCCTAGACTGAAGTGTAGTCCGAAGCAAGGCCTCTGTAACTTATTTAACATAATGGAAGATTAGAAACCGCAAGTGCCCATCAACTGGAAGCTGTTGGACAAATGGGTCCATCCACTCAGGGGTGCTATGAAAGGAAGAAAGACACCCCGAGCCGACGTGGCGAAGAGCGAGGTGCAGACAGGGTGCGCGTGAGATAGCAAGGCGGGGAACGCTGTGTGACAGGCTGGCATTTGTGCGAAAGACGAGGGGAATAGGAAAGTTTGTGTTTGCCAAAACCAGCACAAATAACTGGTGTTTTACAGAAACTAGCGTTAGCAGCGATCCTGCGGTTCGGGCCCAGACAGCAAATGAAGAAGAAAACTTTTCAAAATATTGCTTTCATTTTTTTCAGAGAGATTTTTTTGCTATAGGGTGCATGTGCTCACTGGAGAGACAGAGACAGAAAATGAGAAATCACCTCCCCATGGGAGATGACCACTCCACAATCCCTTCTCTTCCATTCTCCTCTAGGGATTTTGGGAATGCATGCACGCATGACCAGCATGTTTTAAGCCACCAGGTCTGGGACTCGAACTGCTGTAGACTATGTGGAGTTCACCAATATAACCCTTACACCATCTGCTGGTCCCACCATACTGCTTTTTTAAAGCATAGATCAAAATACCACTGCAAACAACAAAAATGATCACTTCTCCCTGTTAAAAATTAATAGATTAGCCAGCCATGGTGGTGCAACAGTTGTGCGACACACCAAGGTTCGTGTCCTGAGGTCTCCTTACACGTGTGTTTATGTGCCCATGATGTGGGCTGGCTGAAGCTGTGGCCAGATCATCACGTGAGAACCCTGCTAGGGGATCTGCCTTCTCGCCTTCTCTCTCTCGTGGAAGAAATAGATCAATAAACTTAGAAAAATTCTTCAAAAAATTAATAGATCACTTATGTATGGGGAAAAAGACAGGCTAAAGCACACTAAAATGTTAGTCAGGATTATCTCTAAATTCAGGAAGTAGGAGACATTTATTTTCTTCTTTCACCACACTTTCCAAAATTAATAGGTCTACTTCTGAAATCATAAAACAATCCAATAAATATTATTTTGGGCCGGGCAGGTGGCATGGTGGTTAATGGTGTTGGACTCCCACATGGTTAACCATGGTTTGAGTCCTGGACCTGGCAGCTTGCTTTCTCACTTTCTCTCTCTCTCTCTGGCTCTAGCTCTCACTCTGTCACTCTGTCTCTCTCTGGTCAAATTTAAAATAAGTAAATAAATAAAGTTAAATAAAATAATTCTTTAAAAAATAATATTTTCAAAGTTGATTAAAAAAAAAAAAAAAGGCCATGGAGTAGCCTCCAAACCCTACAGCTTGCTCACTTGCCTGAGCAAACCATCTTAAGAGCTTTTCTGCATCTCTGCCTTTCTGGACATTTACTCTCTTAAACTTTAACGAGGCCCTAACGCGAGGGAGACAGGGAGGAGAGGGGCCGTGGAGGGGTA